GACACCTCGAACCAGGGTGGGTACTGAAAGGCCGTGAGGGAGCCAGGAGGACGCTGGGAATCCAGCCCCAGAGGGGGGTTATCTGACTCTGGTCTCCCTCTCTTGGGTTCACATTCAACAGGGATGCAGCTGACAAACCGCTCATGCCATGAAGCCCAGGACAGAGAGTTGGGCCCAAGCTCAGTGTTACAACACGGGGTGGGCAGAGAGCTGCAGAGGGAGGGGACAGTTACCAGGCGGCCAGCAGGGGGGCAATAATTAATAGGTAGGAGATTAACTTCAACATGATTTGCCAGGTCTAGTACCCCAAGGAGTTCTGCTAGCCTGGACTGCTGCCCCCTCCCCCTGCTCTGCGCTTTGCTTCCCTGGAGAGGCAGGTTGAGATGAAGACGGGAACAAACTCCCTTCCCTTCAGGAGACCGAACGCCCGCTGCCCGGCCTGTCCAGCGCAGCCAGCCAGCTTCACGGTCACCACAAACAGCTGCCATCTGCGCTCGCACACGCTGTCTGTGCAGGCGGGGACGTCAACAGCGCGACGAGACCCTGCCCTGCCGAGGTCACCAGTGGGTGGGTTTCACACTGCGTTAACGGGGCTGTCGGTACTGCGTTCCACGGCTCCTTTCAGTGACACGCCAGCACCTGCCCAGCACTGGGCACGACCCGGCGATGCAGGAAGGCCAGGCTGGCACCTCAGGGCGACACGCTGCAGGCAGAGGGCCCAGCTCATTGCTGCCCTGCACCGTCAATCACCCCCACTCTGCACAGGTATCCGTGACCGTGCCTGGGGCCCGGCAACAGTAACTTGGACCCAGATGCTCAGAGATGGGCTGGGGGGAGCTAATTTCACTCCTGACACAGAGAGTGCCCAAGTGCAGGGGTCTGGGAGGGAGCAGGAGGGGGGTCTTGGAGGAACATCCCCCAGGAATCCTCTGTCCCAGGGGCACAAGCCAGACAGGCCAGGAGGAGAGACTGACTGTGGTGGCTCCAGGGGGAATGGGATGTGCAGAGAGGGGGAAGGGAAGGGTGAGAACTCACCTGCCAGGACAGTAAGAGTGATGATGAGACTTAAGGACACAACTGCGAGGGCGACTGCGAGCACAATTGTACCTTTCTTGTAGTTACATTTCCTGCAGTTGCGACGAGGGTCTGAAACTGTTAGCCGACGGCCAAGGATGTTTGGTGAGGTGCCAGCTATGCCCGTTTATACCATCCGTGACTTTAACCGCTAGGACGCACTGTCCCTTCGCGGCGGGCAGCCCGGGCTAGGCTGACGGATGCCCCAAGGTCCTAACCACCTGTGACTTTAACTGCTAGAGCTCAGAGCTCCTTCGCAGCGGGCAGCCAGGATTGACTGACAGGTGCCCCAAGAGTTTGCCCCGTGGAGGCGGCACAACTCAACGCTAGGCTCTTAGTACTCTCACCTAATGGCCAGGCTTTAGAGCCAAAACGGCTGAGATTCTTTAATTGTGTTGGCTGCTTTACAGTAAACCAGAGAAAACAAGTCAGGCTTATGCACAAATGGTTACCAAAATTTATTAAGCTAGATTCTAATCATGTGGTTACCAAATTGCTAGTGCCTACTTATTTAAATGTAGAGATGTTACACACACAGACAAGTTACAAAACTGAAGCCACAATCCCAAAGAAAGAAAACAAAGTATAGAGCTCTATTTCAAAATATGTGTACACTAAAGATAGGAGATCAGGTGTGGGTGCTTCTTACCCTCCTTGCATCTCTCGATTCCAGCGGTGCCAAGCCAGGATCGGTCACTCAATTCCGCGGAAAGACGAATAAGGGACAAGGCTTAGGGACCCTCTTAGCTGCAGAAGCCTTGGGAGGCTGTCACTTATCTGACCAGCAGATAGATAGTGAAAAGCACTCAAAAATCATGGTGCTGTAGGTCCCCTACTTATACCTCTGTACTCCTTTATTCTCTTTCTCCTTTCTTATGCCAAATTGAGGCTGGTCTGTCTGGGTGACGCCAGCTTTCGCAAGAGTAGTTTACACTTGCAAAGGAGAGAAACAATAAGTGTCGACTACTGGACATTTCTTTTATCAGGGTAAATATTTTCCCACCTAGGATGTTGGTGTGTGTGCATCACGCTATTTAGTTGGGGCTAAGAGCCATGTCTGTCACAGGGCCTCTGCCTGCTGTGAGCTTAATCCTTGTATCTGTTCCCAGAGGCACATTGTAGCAGCACACCTGTGCTTTCACAGCTTCAAAGGCTGTGCTGGAATATATGTTAAGTGCCCTGTTCCTGCTTCCTCCTGTGTTTCCAGCAATGCTGGTCTGAGGGCGGGGGGGGCTGTCTGGCTACAGAAACAGAAAGACCCGTCAGGCAGGGCCGCGAGGACACGTCTCCCCAACGGCACCAGGGCTGGAGCTGCCTTAGAACAGTGGTTCTCACCCACCGGTTCGTGTACCCCTGGGGGTAAGCAGAGGTCTTCCACGGGGCACATCAACTCATCGAGAGATTTGCCTCATGTTACGACAGGCTACATAAAAAGCACTAAGTCAGTACAAGCTAAAATTTCCTACAGACAATGACTCGTTTATACTGCTCGATAGACTATACACGGAAAGGTACAGCATTGATAGTCCAATCGATCTATTTCATAATTAAATACGCAACAATCAGAGAGAGTCAGCAATTTTCCAGGAATAGTGGCTGTGACACTTTTGTATTTTTATGTCCGATTTTGGAAGCAAGTGGTTTTTAAGCGAGATGAAACTTAGGAGAGTGCAAGACAAATCAGCCTCCTGAGAGGGCGACAGTCATCTGGAAAGGCTGAGAACCACTGGACTCGAACATGCACCGTTCTGCCGATTGCTCCTTCCCTCAGACGCTCTGGGAGAGGAGCCCGGAGGGCCAGGCCGGCTGGGCCTGGCAGAACAGCCCCTCCTTCCTCTCAGCCCAGTGCCCTCCCATGGGCACTCCCAGCCAGGCTGCCAGGAGGCCTGGTGAGCTCAGGGGTACAGAGATAAGGACCCGCATGTTCTGGTGGCAGTTGCTCAAACTTCCCCCCCACCATCCCCACCCCCATTCTGCCCCGTGCGGAGCGCTGGCTGGGCCCACGCTGCCGAGTGCCCCTGTCCCCGCACACTGGGGTCTCACACTGGCCATACGCAGCAGAAGGGGCGAGAACCAACCAGGCAGAGATGGGCCAGGGCTGTCACAGGGGGTCTGACACACCCAGACCAGGAGGGTCCTGCACGGCCCCCGCTGTGTGCGCCAGACAGCAGCTGTGAGCCGGGGATCGGTGCCCTGAGAGCCCCTGGGGGTGATCCAGTCCCTGCTGCCCACAGACGGGGGGTTGCTGGGCACTGGCTGCTGCCACTGAGAGCCTGGCCCCATGTGGGGCAGCCTCAGTGTCTCTCTTCAGCCTGTTCCCAGGCAGCGACACCCCATTACCTGGCTCCCCTCCAGGCTCCAAGCGTCCATTGTCCTCACCATGGCACTGCTGCTGCGGCTCTTCGCTCCCAGCAGGTCCAGCTGCTGGCCCCATCGTCTCTCTCAGCGACACTCGGGCTGCACACGCTGCTGGAGACGCTGGGCTGGGGTCGGCTCCTCCCTGTGACTGGGTCTGAGATTCAGCAGCAGCGAAGCCGAGCTGGGGCGGGGGTCCTGGCCCTGGCTCCCCGCACACCCTGCTCTGGACTCTCCAGCCGATCTGAAAGTCGAGACGGACCCAGCAGGACAGGTCAGTGGGGGGGGAGGGGGGCACGATTTGTGGTTTCTCATTCCCTGCCCAGCAGCCCAACCCCCAGCCAGAGGCGGTGCCATGATGATTGAACCCCCTTAAATGACATTGGCCCCTCCACCCCCCAGGGCTTCAGAGACCTGATCTGCTACGGACCCCACCCGTCGCGCACCACCCACGCATAACAGGCACCCAGCTGGAGTTGACAGGAGGAAAAAACCCTCCCTCCCCACACATACCTCCTGTAATCGAAAGCAAGTCTAGAATCCTAACAGGAGTGGGGAGTTGGTGGGCGGCGGGGAGAGAACCAGGATGGATTGAGTAAAATCAAGGCAATTAAATCACCAAGTCCAATGCCTCAATTGAAATGATCAATTTTAATCAACTTATCGATTGACACTTCAGTAATTTTCTAAGGCCAAGTGCCCACTCGGTGGGTGACAGAACCATTAAAACTTCTTGTCCAAAACTTCCCCCACGGGGGGGTGGGGAGGAGAGGGGCGGGGCGGGGAAATTGTGCGCGTGACCCTTTCCTTCCTCCTTTTTCACTGGGAACGCAGGCAGGGGAAGGATGCCCGTGGGAAGCCCGGCCTGGGACCCCCAATCTTGCGGGGGACAGGGGGCAACAGTGCGCTGATACCCCCCCACTGGCTTGGGGCCACGGGCGGAGAAGGGCCCAGGTAGCTCCATGCTGCACACAGGTGCCCCATCCCCAGCGGGCAGAGCAGGGGGGTGGGGAGAGCCGCCAGACACCTAAGACAGGCCCTGCCCCCAGAGGAGAAGGAAGGGGGAAAAAAGAGAGGCCCCCCGCACCAGCCCGCAGAGGGGGAAGAAACAGACAGGCCCCCCCCCACCCAGCCTGGAGAGGGGGGAGGGGGAAGGGAAGACACAGATGGGCCCCCCCCGCCCAGCCCGGAGTGGGGGAAGGAGGGGGGAGAACACACAGATGGCCCCCCCGTCTAGCCCGGAGAGGGCGAAGTGGGGGGGAAGACACAGAGGGCCCCCCCCGCCCAGCCCGGAGAGGGGGGAGGGGGAAGGGGAGACACAGACGGGCGCCCCCCCCGCCCAGCCCGGAGAGGAAGAAGAGGGGGGAGACACAGACGAGCCCCCCCCGCCCAGCCCGGAGAGGGAGAAGAGGGGGGGGGAGAACACACAGACGCCCCCCCCGCCTAGCCCAGACAGGGGGAAGAGGGGAAGACACAGAGGGCCCCCCCACCCAGCCCGGAGAGGGGGAAGACACAGACAGGCCCCCCCCCCACCCAGCCTGGAGAGGGGGAAGACACAGACGGGCCCCCCCGCCCAGCCCGGAGAGGGGGAAGGGGGGGGAAGACACAGACGGGCCCCCCTCCCCACCCAGCCCGGAGAGGGGGAAGACACAGACGGGCCACCCACCGCCCAGCCCGGAGAGGGGGAAAGGGGGGGAAGACACAGACGGGCCCCCCCGCCCAGCCCGGAGGGGGGGGGAGACACAGACAGGCCCCCAGCCCGGAGAGGGGGAAAGGGGGGGGGAGAGACCATGCCCAGGCCAGGGGTCGGGGTCCAACCCCTGCCCCCCAGTGCCTAGCGCTCCCCCCATGAGCCTGGCAGGGGTTGCACGTTTCTCACCGGCTCAGCAGCGACCATCCGCGCCCGGAGCCTCCCCAGCTTCTGCGGGGCTCTGACCTGCTGCGCTTTAAACCTCGCAGTGACTCCGCCCCCGACCCCCCCCCCCCCAGGAAGGACATTCCCACCCACCCCAGTTCCTACAACCTCCCCCGCAACTCCAGCCCCTGCACCCATTGCACACACAGCTGCGCCCCCTGCCTGGCCATAGGGCCCCTTCCCTGTCCCCCCAAGAGCAGCTGCAGCAGATCCCAATGGGGGGATCCGCACAGGGACCAGCCAGCTGCACCTGCTGCCGCTCAGCCCTGCAGGGTCCGTGTTTAGCCTCTCCCCGTCCCCGTCCCGGGCAGAGAAGTGCGGTACCTGGGGCTGTGCCAGGCCCATCCCTGCCATGAAGATGCCCTGTGGGCTGCGGTGCCCCGGCAGAGGGAGAAGCTGCTGGATCCATCTGGGCTCCGGGCGAGCGCTGGGTTGGGATCAGGCCCCTCTGGGGTGGCTGGGCAGCTGGTTTGCAGGGCTGGTCACCTCCTGGCCCCATGCAGATTGTCTGAACGTGGCAAGCTTCTCTCTAAGGGGAGCTCGGACAGTTCCTCCCAGACCTGTCAGTCAAGACATTCCCTCCATTGTTTAGAACTGGTTGTGGGGTCCCCGGATCAGGATTCCCCCATTATATCCCCTCACCAGGCCCTGGAGGGACCAGATGGAGGGATCTCACTTCAGTCCTTGGCCCTGGCCTGCTGGGATCCCTCAGGCACGTGATGACATTCACTCGTGTTCATCCAGTCCCCACTTACAGGATTGTGACCAGTGGTGTCTCTCCCAAGCACCCCTGTCCCAATGCCACCCCAGTGGGCTCCGGAGCTGTTGCCCCTCCATTCCCCACCCAGTTCTCTGGCTTCAGACCCTCGCCCATGCTCCTGGTGTCACGCCCCACAATCTGAGTGGCTGAGAATTCATTCCCAGTGCTTCCAGCCCAGGGTCCCTGTCCCTCCCTTCCCCCTACCCAGCCTGGGACAGGGGCAGCAGCTACCCCGGCAGCCCCACCAGCCGGAGCAAAACGGAGAACACGAGAAGCAAAAGCGGGTGCTTCTCCTTTTAGGGTTGTGTCTCCAGCCCAAGAACCGACCCTCCCATTAGGTTTCCGGGAAAACACAAAACCAAGCCAAAGATCCCCAACCTCCATCCCCTCTCCCTCCCCCTCCCCCTCTCCGGGCTGGGGGGGGAGGCCTCTTTCCCCTCTCCCTCCCCCTCCCCCTCTCCAGGCCTCCCCCCTCCCCCTCTCCGGAGTGGGGGGGAGGCCTCTTTCCCCTCTCCCTCCCCCTTCCCCTCTCCAGGCCTGGGGGGGGGCTCTGTCCCCTCCCCCTCCCCCTCTCCGGGGTGGGGGGGAGGCTCCGTCCCCTCTCCCTCCCCCTCTCCAGGCTGGACAGAGGCCTCCCCCAGCCCTGAGAAGGGGAGGGAGAGGAAGAGAGGACAGAGGCTCCTGCTCAGCCCAGAGAGAGGGAGGGGGAAGGAGAGGAGACAGAGATTCTCACGAAAAGAAAAGGAGGACTTGTGGCACCTTAGAGACTAACCAATTTATTTGAGCATGAGCTTTCGTGAGCTACAGCTCACTTCATCGGATGCATACTGTGGAAAGTGTAGAAGATCTTTTTATACACATAAAGCATGAAAAAAATACCTCCTCCCACCCCACTCTCCTGCTGGTAATAGCTTATCTAAAGTGATCATCAAGTTGGGCCATTTCCCGCACAAATCCAGGTTTTCTCACCCTCCACCCCCCCACCCACAAACTCACTCTCCTGCTGGTAATAGCCCATCCAAAATGACCACTCTCTTTAAAATGTGTATGATAATCAAGTTGGGCCATTTCCAGCACAAATTCAGGTTTTCTCACCCCCCCACCCCCCTCCCAAAAACCACACACACAACTCACTCTCCTGCTGGTAATAGCTTATCCAAAGCAACCACTCTCCCTACAATGTGCATGATAATCAAGGTGGGCCATTTCCAGCATAAATCCAAGTTTAACCAGAACGTGGTGGGGGGGAGGGGGGGGTAGAAAAAAACAAGAGGAAACAGGCTACCTTGCATAATGACTTAGCCACTCCCAGTCTCTATTTAAGCCTAAATTAATAGTATCCAATTTGCAAATGAATTCCAATTCAGCAGTTTCTCGCTGGAGTCTGGATTTGAAGTTTTTTTGTTGTAAGATAGCGACCTTCATGTCTGTGATTGCGTGACCAGAGAGATTGAAGTGTTCTCCGACTGGTTTATGAATGTTATAATTCTTGACATCTGATTTGTGTCCATTTATTCTTTTATGTAGAGACTGTCTGGTTTGACCAATGTCCATGGCAGAGGGGAATTGCTGGCACATGATGGCATATATCACATTGGTGGATGTGCAGGTGAACGAGCCTCTGATAGTGTGGCTGATGTGATTAGGCCCTGTGATGGTGTCCCCTGAATAGATATGTGGGCACAGATTCTCACGGAGTCCCTGGGTGATGCTCTGGAACTGCTCCCCATGAAGCCAGGCAGGACTCTGGGGCAGTCTCCTCTCTGGGAGCAGCCTGTCTGCAGGACACACAGCTCACCCGGCTCCACCTTCCTGGGTCTGACCTCGGAGCATTCAGCCTCCTCTGCCCCTCCGTGTGCTTCCCACAGCGAGTCCGCCCAGGCGGGGCTCCTGGGGAAGCCAGAGGGTCCTGCCCCCCAACTCTGCAGTCAGACATGACTCTCAGCCAGCCAGTAAAACAGAGGTTTATTAGACGACAGGAACATGGTCTAACACAGAGCTTGCAGGTGCAGAGAACAGGATCCCTCAGCTGGGTCCATTTTGGGGGGGCAGTGAGCCAGACAACCACGTCTGCCCTTCACTCCATGTCCCAGCCAGCCCCAAACTGAAACTGCCTCCAGGCCCCCCCTCCTCTGGGCTTTGTCCCTTTCCTGGGCCAGGAGGTCACTTGATTCCTTTGTTCTCCCACCCTTTAGCTCTTATCTTGCAGGGGGGAAGGGCCAGGCCATCAGGTGCCAGGAAACAGGGTGTCGGCCATTCTCTGTGTCCAGACCCCTGCACACACCTGCCCTCTAGGGCTCTGCAATGATCATACACCCTTATCCCACCCCCTAGATACTTAAGAACTGCATAGGGGAAACTGAGGCACCCCAACACTCTTCAGAGGAAACATTAAGAACAGTCCCACTTCGTCACATCTCTCCCCCCTTCGAGATCAAACTGAGCGGGGTCACTTTAGCCAGTGACCTGGGGAAGTTCGAAGCCACCAACGTTCCCATGGATGCCCCAGCATCTCTCCCATTCCTTGGTCAGAGTTACACCAGAGCCTTCCAGTTTCACGCCCTCCCTTGGGTCGGGGGTGGTCGATAGCACTTGCAGGCCGCATGTGGGAAGGTTTATGCGGCCCGTGCCCTTTGGTCACCCCAAAACCCCAGGGGGTCAAACGAATTGGGTCTTCTCCCCAACAAGCTGGCCAAACACAGCCACTTGGTTATCGGACTGTTTAACTTAACAGCTTTCACTTCATATGAGACCTTCTCAAAGCTATCCACACTGGATCTTTCAACAGGAAAGTCAGTGGATCCATTCGCAACAGAACATTTCTGGCTGTTAGGAACTGAAAGTTTCTTGATTAAATCACTTTCACACCCTTCAGTTGCAGTCAACTACTTGCAAAGACTCCCTGAGGATTCCTTTCCCTAGCGGCTTTTCTATGCAACAATTCACCCCTCACAGAAATTCTGCTCTTACCCTCTTCACCGAGGGCTTGCTCTAGAGGAACACTTTCCTGAGCAACAACAGACTCTTTCTGGGTCTCCCTTACATCCCGAATCACCTCTGGCCCATCCGGCGGATTCCTACACAATCCCCCTTTCAGGCAAACTTACAGACTTCCTTGATAAAAGGTCAGAAGCCTTCTCCTTCCCTTTGCCACACACAAGTTCAGGAATCTTTTCCTTCTTGCTACAGGTTTCCACACCCTCAGTAGGTAACACAATCACATCACCTTCATGCTCTCCTTGTACCCTGCCTAGGATCTCACCCTGATTAGACAGAGTTGCTGCACCCTTTCCCAGCCACACACTAGCAACGGGCAAAACACAAGCACCAGAATTGTCTGGGCTCTGGGATTTTACAGAGACACTGACTGGATGCGACCTAGTTACGGGGCCATTCTCCCGAGCGGACACAAACTTAGGACCCTTCTCTTCCTGGGCTTTAGCTGAATCCAGAACAAATTCTGAGACAACTGCACGACCCTCAACCGTCACAGGCTGAAAGGCCCCTTCTGTCTGCTCCACAGACAAAGAAGAGCCAGACACGCTTTCTCCTTTCCCAGACCCACAGCTTGGGATCTCATTCCACTTGTCACAGACAAGTGCTTGGAGATCAGGGTAGCTCCCTCCCTTGGCAAGTCAACACCCTTGACAGACACGGGCACGTTTCCTTCACTGTCACAATTCTCCACCCAGCTAACAGGTAAGGGCCAGGGACACTCATCTTCCACTCTCCTCGCCTTCCCACCCTGCTGCCTAGACACAGCCATCAGCTCACAAGGCTGCCTAGGCTCATCCAGACTTTCCTTACCAAGACCTTGCCACTCTCAACAGATCTCCTGCCCTGCCTATGTCTACCCCCACTCAGCTGGGGTCTCAGCTCCCACTGTGCTCAGCGCTGCCCTTGCTGTCCCAGTGGGGTAGGCAGCGAGCTTGCTGCTTTCCTCACAGCATCAGAGCCAGCGAGAGCCCCACTCTGGTGTGCAAGGGGTGGGGAGCATTCCTCTGTCCCACCCAGCCCCAGGGGTCTGGTTACAGGCAGGCAGGTAGCCTGAGTCTAGCAGCTCCTCCCCGCTGCCAGCCAGGTCACCTGCATTTTTACAGACCATTTCCCTCTCCACCGATTGGTTCCCTGGATTCAAATTCAAACCCTTGGCAGTTACAGGAACAGGGCCTGGATCCTGTCCCAAAGAGACACAGTCAGCCCACAACAGGGTCTCGCAGCTGGTATCCTGGAGCACCCCAATGGCCAGCCAGCCCCACTCCTCCTGGGTCTGCACAGGGATCTGGGCCATAGGCAGGGCGAGGGGCTTCATCCCTGGGACCCTCACCCAGCTCACACAGCCCCTCAGCATCTGAGGCTGCACCACCCAGGGCCTGACAACAGTTCTCTCTGTCCCAGGATCTCGCACCCCAGGAATGTCTCCCCATTGACCATCACCTTCCGCTCCCACTGGAGGTCCAAGGAGCCTGGCCCCAGGAAACTCCACACAGCCATATAGGTTGGGGTCAGGAGTGGGAGCCTGTCCACCTCCCCACCCATGTGGCTGACGGAGTCTACGGCCTTGGGACCCAGCAAGGGAGCTAGACACTGGGGCTTTTCCGCAGGGTCCCCCTGGTTCAAATCTCCAGCCTGCTCAAAGGCAGTGAGGTGGCATCCACATCCCCCCCTCCTTAACCAGGGGCAGCAATTTAGTCTCGAGGTTCCCTGCGGAACTGGCCCCCCGGGGTCTATCCCCACTCACCCCGGGGAGGTCCCCTGGGCCTCTCCGCTCCCCCCACCAGCCAGCTCATGCTGCTGCTGCTGCTGCAGCTCTTTCCTGGACTCTCGCTGTCTCCCACGGTCCTCTTGCTCTCTCGGACTCAGCTCCAATCCCATCCGTCTCCGATCTCCTGATGGGGAACCCGATCGTGAAGACCCTCATCTGGTCGGGGACAGGAGTCTTGGGGATGCCTGGCTACCACTCCAGCTGCTCCCAGATCCTGCTATAGCCCCATTTGGGGTCAGGAATCTGTCCCTTAGAGCGGTCATCCTCCTCCAGCTGCATGATTAGCTGTGCACTGGTGAACTTTCCAATGCTCAACCCTTGCTTTCTGCACAGGGTTACAATGTCCTTCTTAAGGAGACGGTGACAGGCCCTCACTCCGCTCTTCCCAAGTTGTTGTGGACTCACAGGCCTGTGTGCTCTCAGCTCCCCACGGTCTCCAGGGAGACCCCCTAGTGTGCCAGCCCTTCTTGAGGTCACCACCTCTTTGCCAGGGTCGAGCTGCAGACTCCTCTGCTCCTGGGACCGCTCGCTGCAATCCCCAGGGGAACCCTGTTACTGCAAAAGTCCTTCTCTCTCCCAGGGCCAAGCCGCAGGCTCCTCCGCCCCTGAGACTGCTCACCGCAGTCCCCAGGGGGACCCCCATTACTGCACAGTCCTTCTCGCTGTCACAGACTCCCAGGGGTTAACCGCCCCCCGAAACCGCTCCTCTCTGAGCCTTCAGCACGCCTCGTCCTCGTCAATCCCCCTTCGTTTTACTGCTCCCCAGTCACTTACTGCAGGAAGTGCCATCCACGGGGTGCAGTACATCCCACCGCTCCCACCAGTTCTCATGGAGTCCCTGGGCGACACTCTGGAACTGCTCCCTATGAAGCCAGGCAGGACTCTGGGGAAGTCTCCTTTCTGTGAGCAGCCTGTCTTCAGGACACACAGCTCACACAGCTTCCACCTTCCTGAGTCTGACCTCGGAGCATTTAGCATCCTCTCTGCCCCTCAGTGCGCTTCCCACAGCGAGTCCGCCCAGCTGGGGTCCTGGGGAAGCCAAAGGGTCCTGCACCCAACTCCACAGTCAGACGTGACTCTCAGCCAGCCAGTAAAACAGAGGTTTATTAAACGACAGGAACATGGTCTAACACAGAGCTTGTAGGTGCAGAGAACGGGACCCCTCAGCTTGGTCCATTCTGGGGGGCAGTGAGCAAGACAACACGTCTGCCCTTCACTCCACTCCCCAGCCAGCCCCAAACTGAAACTCCCTCCAGCCCCTCCTCTTCTGTCCCTTTCCCCGGGCAGGAGGTCACCTGATTCCTTTGTTCTCCCACCCTTTAGCTCTCACCTTGCAGGGGGAAGGGGCCGAGCCATTAGTTGCCAGGACACAGGGTGTCGGCCATTCTCTGGGTCCAGACCCCTGCACACACCTGCCCTCTAGGGCTCTGCACTGATCATACACCCTTATCCCACCACCTAGATACTTAAGAACTGCATAGGGGAAACTGAGGCACCCCCACACTCTTCAGAGGAAACATTAAGAACAGTCCCACTTTGTCACAGTTGCCTCACCCTGAATGTCATTGATCCCCCAGTTTATAATGCGTCTCCCCGGCCGCTTCTCCTGCTAATTTGAACCTCAGGGAACACATCGAAGCGCTCTCCTGTCCCCCACAGCTGCTGGGTTTGGGCCACTGCCAGAGCCCTCTACACTGGGGTTAACATCTGGATCCTGGCCAAGCTGGTTCTAGCCCATGTCGCCAACCCCCAGTGACCAAAAATCACAAGTCAGAGCCCCCCAAAGCCATGAGATTGGCTGAAACAAGATGAGATTTTGAAAACAACTTTGGGTTCTGTTCTTGATCTCCTGGTGGTGGAGCCTTTAGGGGTCACCTTTTCAAGCTTTTCTCCCCAGCCAGGGGGGCTAGAACAAGAAAAACTTCTGACAAAAATGGCCAACCCCGCCAAAATCTTCTACCAGAATCAGAAAAAATTAGTCCAGAATGATTGAAAACAGAACAAGTTTTGGTTTTTGAATTTTCCAAGAAGACCGTGAATGTTTTTTATTAAAGCCGACACTTTCCACAAAAACTTGCCTTTAATCAAACACCCAATTTTTCCTAAAAAAAAAGTCAATTGAACCATTTCAGTCCACTGGTTACAGCTGCTGTGAAATCCCCCATCCCACCCCCCCCCACAGTTCCCACAACCTCGCCCCCCCTGCAACTCCAGCCCCTGCACCCATTGCACACACAGCTGCGCCCCCTGCCTAACCATAGGGCCCCTTCCCTGTCCCCCAAAGAGCAGCTGCAGCAGATCCCAATGGGGGGATCCGCACAGGGACCAGCCAGCTGCACCTGCCGCTGCTCAGCCCTGCAGGGTCCGTGTTTAGCCTCTCCCCGTCCCCGTCCCGGGCAGAGAAGTGCGGTACCTGGGGCTGTGCCAGGCCCATCCCTGCCATGAAGATGCCCTGTGGGCTGCGGTGCCCCGGCAGAGGGAGAAGCTGCTGGATCCATCTGGGCTCCGGGCGAGCGCTGGGTTGGGATCAGGCCCCTCTGGGTGGCTGGGCAGCTGGTTTGCAGGGCTGGTCACCTCCTGGCCCCATGCAGATTGTCTGAACGTGGCAAGCTTCTCTCTAAGGGGAGCTCGGACAGTTCCTCCCAGACCTGTCAGTCAAGACATTCCCTCCATTGTTTAGAACCGGTTGTGGGGTCCCCGTATCAGGATTCCCCCATTATATCCCCTCACCAGGCCCTGGAGGGACCAGATGGAGGGATCTCACTTCAGTCCTTGGCCCTGGCCTGCTGGGATCCCTCAGGCACGTGATGACATTCACTCGTGTTCATCCAGTCCCCACTTACAGGATTGTGACCAGTGGTGTCTCTCCCAAGCACCCCTGTCCCAATGCCACCCCAGTGGGCTCCGGAGCTGTTGCCCCTCCATTCCCCACCCAGTTCTCTGGCTTCAGACCCTCGCCCATGCTCCTGGTGTCACGCCCCACAATCTGAGTGGCTGAGAATTCATTCCCAGTGCTTCCAGCCCAGGGTCCCTGTCCCTCCCTTCCCCCTACCCAGCCTGGGACAGGGGCAGCAGCTACCCCGGCAGCCCCACCAGCCGGAGCAAAACG